GCGGGGTGTGGAGGAAGAAGGCTCAGCGTGTTTAAGTCAGAGCTGGATATTAGATTCTAGTCACTATTTGATTGATCTTTTAAGCAATTCTGGGATTCTGTCACTTAAAAACCAATAAATCTTTGAAGGCCTGGGGAAAGCAATGCAAAAGCAATAAATCTCTATTGCGGAGTATTAGAAATATAGGCCAAGCAGCCGACGTGGTTTGGCGGGAGAGATGAGGGTGTGGGAGCCGCACACGCCAATCTTCCCCTCCACCCCTCCTTGCCTCCCAGCATGCTCGGTTCGACCAGAAGGAGTCAGAGCCATGGGGCCCCAAAGGCGCAGCAAGTGGCAGAGCAGGGGCTGGAGCCGAGCCGGGGCCAGAGCACTGCTGGCAGGAGGAGGAGGAACAGCCCACCTGGGTCACTCCTGAAGGCCGGGGTTTAGCTGTGCATCTGTTTGCGGACAGGCAGACTCTACACTTAGAGACCTGCTGAGGTTCACAAGTTACAGGCTAGGCCCACATGACCCAGAGCCGAAGGACCCTGAGAAGTCCTCCTGCCTCCCCCTCACTTCCTAACTGATGGAGGTTCACGCCACAGCCTCCCCATCAAAAGGTTACCCAGTCATCACGTGACACCCCAGACACAGGAAACTCACCACCTTCTGGGAGGAGCCAGGTCTGTGTCCTGGTTGTACATGTAACAAGCTTGGTGACCTTGGACCAATCATTTAACATCTTAGAACTCAGCTTCACCCTCTGAACTGGAGATGATATTTCCCGTCCAGCTCACTCACCTCATCCATGGCCATCAAATGACACAATGCAATGAAGGGACCTAACACTATAAAATACGATTCCAGGCACCCGTGGTCCAACACATCCCGTGACCTCTTTGTGCCTGACAGTCAGAGCCTTTGTTGTTTTCTCAATGCTCCCGCGTCCCCCAACCTGCAGGGCTCCACACTGGCCACCAGCGCTCATCTCTCCGACCAGTCCACTCCTCCTCTCAACCAATGCGTCCCTGTACTCACTGGCCTCCTATTATCTTGTTGAGTCAGTTTCATGAACTCATTTGCTTCCTTGTGTAACGCAGAACCTCTGACCCCATTCACAGGCACAGTTTCTGGACAATCAGCTTGAAGAGGACAGGTGTGCACCTGTCTTGTTTCCTGCTATAGCCTGCCTATATCCTGCTCCTGGGACATAGCAAGTGCTCAATAAATATTTGTTGACTGACTCATCGGTAAACTGCCTCCCATGCGGGCATCTTAGTGCCCTGAGTTCAAGGTGAAAAAGAGTTAAGCCAATGGAAATCTACTGTCATATTGCCACCGCTGTCACTGCAAGTTGTCCTGAAAGTCTTGCAAAGTGGCTTTGGTTAGTCTCTTATACTCCTTGGCAAATGCCCAAGCAATAGTCTGAAAATAATTCCAAAAATGGAGTGTACCCACCCTCAATGACCCAGAAGCTTGGGAAGAAAAGCAGCCAGACATTTCCAGACACCACGCATTGCCCCTCTGAGCAGTGACATTTATTTTAATTTTTAAAAAAATTTTTGGAAATGCCACCAACATATATCATGCATAACTTTCTCCTAGGGAGGTGGTGTTGTATAGAGGAATGAGTGTTGGGGTGGGGTCAGCTGAACTGGGTTTAAATTCCACTTGCACCATTTCCTTGTTTTGTGGTCTGGGTCAACTCATTCAGTGTTTACCTCAGTTTCTACATCTGCAAAACAGGGATACTATCATTGCGATGCTGTGAGCACACAGATAGTTTATAGTGAGAGGCACACAACAAGTCCTTGCTCACCAGGTGCAAGGTAGCAGGTTCTTGTTATCTGAAGACCTGGCCCCTAATGCTACCTTTCTGGATGAGCCAGGAACAATGAATGAACAACCATGGCAGTGAGGAGCTATAGCCTGCAGACCTTTTTATTCCTGTGTTGGTTTTGTAAAGTTTTCCTGCTTTCTGCTCCCTGGCAACCGTCAGTTTTTCACTGCTACTGGGGCATTTCCATTCTGTAGTCTCAGAATGCATGAGATTATTAAACAGATGGGCATCCTAAGAGAATGTAGGCTCGTAGGGAATGTGTAAGGGGCTTCTCTTTGCGGAAACTGGAAGGGCTTTCCCAGGAACATTGGTTTGGGCTGCTCAGAGGACCCCTTTGCTGGTCTCTGCAGTCAGGCAGGCCTGGATGTTAGTTAGTCCTGGCTTCATCACTGACAGGCTCTATGACTGGCTTCATCACTTACTGGCTCTGTGACTGAGCTTTTATTTCCTCATTTATAACAGAAAGGTACTACTCATAGGTTAGCCAAGGTTAAATTCTTGGACTGTAGAAGTTGCCCAATAAAACATGGTAATAATTACTTCAGTGAGGTCTTAGAGGTTCACAGCCATGCAATCTGATTTATCCTAAGGACGGGACTCTAATCCTCAATATAAAATTTAACTTTATGCAGCTACTGGGCAGGACCCAGATTGATTATTTCTTAGTACAATTTTTTAAAGAAGTTCCTCAGAAACTTTATGCTGGAAAAAAGTTAGGGGATCTTCAGGAAAAAGCAGAAGTACTTCCCTCCCCATCATAAAATCAGGGTCTCAAAAGAGCTTCGGACATTTGGATAGGAAGGAAGCAGGCAACCCTGTGATCTTGTAATGGGAAAGATTTTACAAAAGCCATTTTGAACAGAGCTTCTAAGTTCCAAAGAGAAAAAGCAAAGCTAACAAAGGAATAACTCTCTAAGAGCCTGCCTTGCTTTGGCTTCTACATTTTAGCCAGCCTCTGTGAAATCATGACCCTCTATACTTTCCAGATGATGAAAGCTCAGGTTCAGAGACATTAAGTAACTAGTCCAAGGTCACACAGCAGTGTCAGTGTTAGAGCAGGATTTGAACCCAGGTTCTCTGCCACTAAGCTCATATCCTTTCCACTGCCCCATCCAGCAGCCAGAAGGCTACAGGGAGTTGGATCCACACCCACCAGGAGCCACTGTGGTGCCAGCTGATCAGGTCTCTTTGCTCATAGATCTGTAGGCTTGAGGGATGAAAGGGGATAACTGGATCTCCTATATAAAGGTCATGGGTTTGGGGTCAGCTGCTAATGTATTATGCAATATTGGATACACTGTTTCTCTTTTCTGGGCCATAGTTGGCCACCCGGAAAGCTTGCTAAGATTTTGAAATATGACCAGTGCTGCTGTGTGAGAGGTAAGAGCTATGAGAGGGAGGAGGGCAGGGGTGGCCAGATTGGAACATGTGACTTGGCACCTGGAGGACCTGCATTCAATCTCAGCTTTCCTACCTACTGTCTGTCTGCATGTGTCTGTTCTGAGCCTCGGTTTCTTCATCTGAAAATGAGGATAATAATATGGCAGTGCATAGACAGAATTAAATGATGATGTTGCATGAAAGTGACAGGGATAAGAAGTGGGTAACTCAGTAACTACTGGATGTAAGAGACACCAAGTGCTTTGGCTCATCACGGCCAGGACGGACCTGGAACAACTCACATGCAGAATGCAGGGAAAAAGTTTTCAGTTCAGGTGCTGCACACATACCTCACAAACCTGCTGCGAGGTCTGAGGATTCACCTGACCCAGGATAGGACATTATCCAAAGTCCACGGGACTGAGGGGAACTTCCAAATTCCCCTCAATGGATTCTGTCTGCTGTAAGGACTATCACTCCTGGGTGGAGCTGGATCTGGCTGGAAAACGGATAACTAGACCATCTCAAAAGCGTCCTTCCTGGCAAGTCTCCCAGTCTCTGGGATCACACAAGTGACATGGCATGTGGCTATCGGTGGCTCCCCAGGGCCCATTAAACACGCCTGAGCATCTCAAACATGGCCCCCAAAGTCACCCCACCAACCCTGCCATAACCTCCACATTAAAGCAAACTTAACGGCTCCCGATTGCTCCCAGGAGAGCAGGCTGCTTCCCTTTCCCAGGTCTGTGCTCAGCCCAGACCTGATTACTGCTTTGCCAAAATCTCACACAACAATTAAGGTCTAGCTCGGCATCACTTCTGCTGGGAATTCTCCCCTCTGAACTCTTGTAACGACCTGTGCATGTCTCCATGAATGTGCCCTGCATTCTAGTTATGTTTTCATGTTTCTGTCTCCCCAGCTAGAGTCTGGCTCCCTTTAGACCCTGAGTCATTCACGGCTAGTTCACTACTGTACCCTGAGCAGTTAAGCAGCCCCTGGCACAGAGTGCTGCCCGATGAAGAGTTGTTGAGTGAATATATAAATAATTTTTACCCCCTGGGCCCCTCCCCCTTCTGGGTATCTAAGCTATGCAGTGCATGCTAGTTGAACTGGCCTGAGCCAATCTGAAAGCTGTTTCGCCCAACACTCTGCTTGATTTCAAGGGACTGTGGTCCTTTGATCGCTGAGCAAACCAGCAGTCAACGTAGGAGCTGCTGCCCTTGAGCAAAGTGTAGCTGGTTTAAAAGAGATGCCCACCTTGCTGAGAGCCATGAGCCATGACCTTGCACTAGGATGGCTTAGTTACTGAGGAGCTTTCATTGCCCGAGCCCCGACTATGCTCCTGGGCTCCAGCAGCCTCTTGTGAAAATCAGCAATGTGGCTTTGACTTCAAGCCCCTCTGTGGGACTCCAGCACACTAAGGCCCCACCTGGGACCAGCCCAGAGGTCTGGCTCCATTCACAACCGTCTGTCCATTTGTCTGTTAATATCAGCCAGACATGGAAAGGAGACTGTGTTTCCAGGCTTCCAACCCAGTAAATAAATGTACCGTAGATGTGTTCCAGAAGGTTCTCTCCCAGCCCTCCTCAGGTCCCCATGAGCATGCCCCCTCTGAATCAGTTCCAACAGCCCACTGTGCAGAGTGAGGCTCCTGAGCTTGGGGTGTTGACCCTCTTCCTCCAGGAAGCCCTGCCCCTGGCCAGCCCTGCCCATGGGTGCCGATGGGCACAGGACCCAATGGGAGGTGTGCCCGGTGCAGAGAGAGGAAACCGTGAGCGCTGGGTGCAGCAGCCTCCTCACCTGACGGGCGCTCCCCTGGACTGCGCGGGCTTCAGCATCACCGTGATGGTTGTGTCCGTCTCGTTCAGCGGGGTGTCCGTGTCATACTCGGGCATCGAGGGAGCTGGGCAGAGAGAGGAGAGAGTGTGGAGCTCAGCACTGGGCCCAGACCCCGCTCGCCACCTCCCCCCGATGCTGTCCCTAAGGATGCTCAGGACGACTGGAAGGGGGATCTTTGGGAAAGGCTCGGCCAGAGTCTCACGGCCTCCCAGGTTTTCAGCACAGGAGGTCCTGACCTCCAACCTGCCTGAGGGCTCCTTCACGGTGCAGAAGAGTCTGGGCAAGGGGGGCAGCGGTACGGCCAGTAACTCTCACGAATCCAAAGTCCCACACCAAGTACACAGATAAACACAGGGAAAATAAGGACTTAAAGATGTGAACGCAGCCAACCTTGTGGAACACATTTGAAATGCACATTTCCGCAGTAATGAAGTAATTCTTATTTTTTTTCTCACGAGACCCTCTCTCTCTCACCCTCAACCGACAGGAGTGCCACCGGATCTAATCCCTTGGGAAGATAAGTTAGCCATTTGCATTAAAAGCTATTAAAGTCCACCTCCCTTTTCATTCAGTATTTCAGTTTCTGGAATTTATCCCAAAGTTATAATCCAAACTGACACATTAAAGTTTATTCTGTAACTGTTTATTGAAGTGTTGTTTTATAACATCATGGATGCCCCAAATCTAGCCAACCACAGGGGAATGTTTAATTAAATTACGTCCAGCCACTTGACAGGACATTAGAACGGAAAGCAATGTAGCAACATTGAAAATGCTTATGGTATAAACATAAGTGGAAACATTAAGCTCCAAAAACTACCATGGGTCCCATTATGCAAAATGTGTATGCGTGCAGACCAGAAGAGCACAGGTATTCTGGAAAAGTATTCGTTGTAGAAGAGGATCTGAGATAATTCTGCTCGACGCTGTCTGATACTGGGGGTGGCAGGCCAAGCCTTGGACCACCCTGGCTTCATAGCGGTCATTCGTTCATCATTCATTCATTCATTCATTCATTCACCAAGCACTTCATGAATACCTCTGCTGTGCCCTGCTCTGCCAAAAGGAATATTCCTAAAAATAAATCACATTTTTACAAGCCATGGGGTATGAAAGAGAAATACTCCTTAATACAACTGTGTGGCACATCTTTTGGCGAGTCCCTTGGCATCCCCTCTGGTCTAATCGATACAGTTTTTTTCCACTTTAGGAAGTTTGTGGGTTTCATCCCAAGGAACTGGACCATCCTGAATCCTCTAGTACCGACCACATGGTTGCAGCTGGCTCTGGCCTTTGTCACTCCCAGGAAAATGAGGGATGGAGACACGCAAAGCAGCAGCAACTTTCTGAGAGAGATACCTGAAATTTTGGTGGCGATCCTAGTGCTGACGGGGGGCCCAAAGCCTTTTGCTGTGCTCGCCTTGATGGTGAAGGAGTAGGTGGTCCCTGGGTACAGACCCACGAAGAGGTGGTGGGTTTCATTCCGGAGCTTGAACACTTTCCCCCTCTGGCTGGAGAGGTCGGCGCTCGGGTCGAGGGAGCCCACAGCCTTGTAGTTGATCTGCAGGAGAAGCCAGCGAACAAACCGGTCAACACCTCACCTGGGACACCGGACAGAGCTCAGGGACCTCAGGGGAGGACAGGAGAAGGCGTGGGAGCACATGCGGATGCTGCTGTCGATCTCACAGATCTCCCAGCTCCCTAAATCACCACTGCTGGCCCTCAGGGGAATCGCTCGCTGCCCAACAGAAACCCCGTGCATGCCACAGGCACGCTTTCTAATTTCCCAGTGGTCACATGGAAAGACGAAGAACGTAAAATCAAATTAAATAACACACTTGGTTGAACCTAATTCATTTACGAAAAAATATTATCATTTCAACCTGCAATGAACAGAGAAAGTTAATGAGATAGTCTGTGTTTATACTCTGTAATATAAATAAATATTGTCTGTGTTTATTCACATGACGCCTTAGATATCTAGTGTGCGATTTGCCCTTATGATGCATGTCCATCTGGACTGGCCACATTTCAAAGTGTAGCAGTGGCTGTGGGCAGTGGCCCATGTGGCTAGTGGCCACCGAATTGGACAGCGCAGCCACGGAGCAGTGTTCGAGAGCAGGGTCTCAATAAGTTAGTTGGAAAGCTAGTTAAAAATACAAAATAGAAATAGAGGCATGGACACATGGAACAGACTGAGAGCTGTCAGTGAGGAGGGGGGAGGGGGGAGTGGGGAGAAAGAAGGGGAAGGGATCAGCCAGAGAACATATATGCATGACCCATGGACACGGACAACACGTGGGGATGGCCAGACGGAAGGGGGCTGCAGGGGCTGGGCGGAAGTGGACAAGGGAGAAAATGGGGACATCGGTGATAACCAGCGTCAACAATAAAAATAGAGAAATGCAGCTCCTGAGCCCCTACCCACATAGTGCTGTCTGCGGCTTCTCCTGCATCTTTTGTTCGCCTTCCCTCCACCTGGGGCATCAGGTTATCTATTCTCATTCTAATGAGGGGGACACTGAGGCTCAACTGGGAACCGACTTGCATTAAATTAGCGCTTTTTGAAATACCTACCTCGGGTGGAGGCCCAGTTTTGAGCTCCCTCACCCACTGCAGACCTGTAATGATCCAAAGACCCCCTCACACGTGACTCATCCTGGCAATAACCAAGCTGGTTTACACTCTGTGCAGGAAGACGCGTCCACTGACCTTGCACTTGGGCGTCACAGCCACGTCAAGGCCCTCTAGACGTTTTTAGGTGTCCACCCTCAAGTGTCGCACTGACCCTGCTGTGAAACTGACAAAAGGTGGGCACCCTGGCACTGGCCCGGGGTCGGGGGACAACTCTGAGTATTATTTTTTCTAAATTAAACATTTGTTCAAGTGGCAAGTTCAGGACGTTTTTTTGGTTTATCTAGCTTATTTTAGTAATATTTATTACTAGAGTATAAAACACATGCAGAAAACTATGCAGCTGGATGAATTTTTGCTTACTGAGCGCAATCCCAATTGGCACCTGATCAAGAGAGAGAACATTTCCAGACCCAAGATTTCCCCCTCCTGCCCCTTCAATTCTTCCCCGCCTCCCATGGCAGGGATACTTTCTCTCCTGACTTCTAACAGCACAGGGGAGTTTTGCCTGGCTTTGAACTTTATACAAATGAAATCACAATGAAGTGGGAAGTTTTGGAAGACCTTTGTTCACCCAAACCCCAGGCGCCCTGGGAGAATGATCAGGCCGTCTGGGAAAAGCAAACAGCAGGATAGTCACCAGGACTGGGGCTAGCACCCCGCAGTTAGAACTGATTTTCACATTTAGCCTTTGTCTTCTGCTTCTGCCCCATAGCTAAAACTAACTTCCACATTCCGCTTCTGTATCCCACTTTGCTACGCAGACAGGAAGACCCCGTAGACTATATAAACCCCAAGAATCCTTTGTTCGGGGCTCAGAATTTGGAGGCTGACTCCTCTGGGACCGTGCACGTTAATAATAAACTTCGCACTCCAGAATCCCTCGGTATCTGGTTGCTTCATTTTCCTGTAACAACAAGATTTGCTCTTTGTTCAACATCAGGCTTGGGACTTCTGCCAAGATGGAGGCATAGGTGGATGTGCCGTGCCTTCTCACACAACCAAGTTTAGAAACAACTAAATATTAGCAACAGAAAACACAGCCAGAACACGGAAAATTGAACTTTTCGGAAGTCCGTTAACAACAAATTCTTCAGCCTGACCGGTAAGGGGCGAAACCAGCGGCTGGTGAGGGGTTGCACAGGAGGACTCGGTCAGACGGACTCAGGCGCGGAATCCAGACGCTCGGAATCCAGGCTCAGGGCTGGACCTAGTGAGCAACCGAGCGAGCCACCAGGCGAGCGACCTCGAAGGAGACAGCGGGGAGGCGGTGCTGCGTGTTGACTGTGGTCGCGCATTTGTGTACGAGCGAGCGGACAGACGAGGGAGTGGGCGGTTGGACCGGGGCCCTGCGGTCCCGCGGCCGTAGAGGGCGCCGCCATTTCCCCGCTCTGACCACGCCCCCACATACAGCATCACAACCCAGCGACCTGGGAGTCCAAGGCACCGCTTCTCACACTTAAAGGGCCAGAACAGACCAAAAATGTCGCAAGAATATCTCAAAGCCCCAGAGCCCATAGATCTAAGCAATGAAGAAATAGCAAAACTCTCAGACGCACTGTTTAAAACACTGGTCATCAGGATCCTCACAGAACTGGTTGATTATAGCCACAAATTAGACAAATATATGAAGGCGAAACTAATAGAAATGAATGGAATTGCACAGGACACCAATAACAATGAAAAGGAAACTGGGACTCAAATCAAGGGAGTGGACCAGAAGAAAGCAAATAATGGCCAAACAGAAAAGGGTCAGGAAGCAAGAATTCAAAAAAATGAGGAGAGTCTTAGGAACCTCCAGGACATCTTTAAATGCTCCAACATCTGAATTATAGGGGTACCAGAAGGGGGAAAGGAACAGCCACCAGTGGAAAACTTATTTGAACAAATAATAAAGGAGAATTTCCCCAATCTGGCAAAGGAAATAGACTTCCAGGAAATTCAGGAAGCTCAGAGAGTACCAAAGTTGGACCCAAGAAGGAACACACCAAGGCACATCATCATTACATTAGCCAAAATTAAAATGAAGGAGAGAATTCTAGAAGCAGCAAGAGCTAAGGGGACAGTCACCTACAAAGGAGTCCCCATCAGACTGTCAGCCGATTTCTCAAAAGAGACCTTACAGGCAAGAAGGGGCTGGAAAGAGGTATTCCAAGTCTTGAAATCCAAAGACCTACAACCAAGATTGCTCTATCCAGCAAAACTTTCATTTAGAATGGAAGGACAGATAAGGTGCTTCTCAGATAAGATCAATTCAAGGAGTTCATCATCACCAAGCCATTATTATATGAAATGTTAAAGGGACTTATCTAAGGAAAAGAAGTTAAAGAAACATGAACAGTGAAAGGACAACAAACTCACAGTTATTAGCAGCCACACCTAAAACAAAAGCAAACTAAAAGGACAGCTAGATCAGGAGTGGAAACATAGAAATGAAGATCTCAAGGAGGGTTATCAACAGGGGAGTGGGAGGAGGAGAAGGGGGGAGAAGGTACAGAAAATAAGTAGCATAGACAGTAGATAGAAAATAGAAGGGGGGGGCAAGAATAGCATGGGAAATATAGAATCTAAAGGACTTGAGACACATGGTCATAAACTAAAGGGGGGGTAATGGTGGGGATGGGGGGGTAGGGTGGAGGGGAATGAAAGGGGGAATAGAACAACTGTAACAGCATAATCAATAAAAAAATATTTAAAAAAACCCCAAAAAACAAAAAAAACCCATCAGGCTTGTTGAGACTCATACAGGTCAGGTGCGGCTGCAGACCACGGGATCGAGGAAGGACAGCACCCAGGTCCCTTAGGCTCTAAAACCTCAGCTCCTTCTTCCCCGCCACTTTGCCCGCCCTGGGCACACACTGCATTAAAGAACACATTCGTTCTTCACTTAGTGCTCCTTCGGAAGTGCTTCCTGCCAACGCTGTGTTCCAGGACCTGCACTGTGGGCTGCTGGGGCCCCCAGATGAATGCACGTTGGACCCCATCCACAAGTGTCTTTTCTTTGAGAGAGGTCATTTCAACTACACAGCGCCTTCCATCCCTTTGCCTCCCATCACAAATGTCCCATGCTTGACAGGAAGGCCCAACCCAGGTGGGGAAGGGAACTCACCAACTTTACTTCAAAAATCAGCAGTTGTTTCTGGCAAGGGGAGCAAATGTTTTTGGAGAAAGGCAACATTTCTCTCCCGATGCTGCATGTCTAGGCGAGAGGCCAGACTTACCCTGGAGTAGAGTGAGCCCACGAGAAGAAATGCCCAGGGCTGAAGGACTTGGGCATTTTGCAGGCAGAGCCTGGGCAGAGCACACCACCTGCTCAGGGGGGTGTCTCAGGGGAGAAATGAATTGATCTCAGAGGATGACAGGGATTCAGAGCAGAGGAAAGAGCCTTCTAGGTCCCAGGTAGAGGGAGCTGCCTGCACCGAGGTCCAGGGTGGGAAAAGACTTGCGGGAACCGAGAAAAGTCCAGTGAGACTAGAGAGTGGTGAGCAGGCGGGAGCGCTGAGCGTCAGTGTGCAGCTGGACTCCAGGTTTCCCTAATGGTGGGAGAAGGAACGAGCTCTGAGAACCCCGCCTGTGGCAGTTAACCCCAGCCCACAGGTGGAGAAGGACTGAATACACATCCTTTTGAAAGGATGGCGGCCACATTGATACACAGGTGCAAGGAGGTAAAACTCATGCCTTTTTTTTTTTCACTAGCCAATTCCTTTTCTGTCCTCCAAATTCAATCCAGAAGCAACTCAATTTCCACCGAGCTGTCAATATAATATACCGTGTTCCCCTGCTCTCCTAACCTTTCCTGGTATTACAGGATCCTCACTTACTTGTAATGAAACACTATGAATAAATCAATGTATGTTAATATAGCGTGTCTTCAATTTTTGATGAAGGGCTTCACCAAGTCTAATCCCTACTGCTTTGTCAGAAACA